ATATATAACAATCAACAATCATACAATCATACATATACAATCATATATCCAGGTGTATAAATGGGTACCGGCATATGCTGGGAAGGTGAAACAGACTGTAGTCTGGGAGAAGTGGCGAACCCCCACCTTGGACAGTCTGGCCTAAACGCTAAAGTAAGAGAGACGGGAACTCAGGCCTGCTTCAGGTTCCAAACCTTTACCTTTAATACTAATTATCAGAGGGCAAAAATTTTTAGATGTTACACGCACTGCTTCAGGTTCCAAACATTTACCTTTAAACATGTATTTACTCTTCGAACATGTATTTACTCTACAGGGTCGTCTGAACCGTACCGGCTTTAGCCGGACCACTTTTTCTCAATTCTATTACTTTTAAAAATAAATATACACTGATACCTATATGAAGTTAGTATTATTGTTGTCTTTTTAATGTTGTTGTATATTTAAACAAAAATCCACCATTCGCTTGTTTTTGTATTGCCTATAATTTTAACTTTATTGACAATCCTTAATTCTAGTAATTCAGATCGATTTTGAAAATCTCTAGAGGTATCAATATAGCAATTAACTATTTGTTTTGGGGTGAGTATGGTATCTACAGTAGTTCACTTGCAGTAGCTTTAAATCCTGGATCTGCCCCTGCATGATGGGTGTTGAATGTGGGTAGCTGCTTTGCAGGTTGCCAGCTTCTATTCCTGAGCGTCTAGAGATGCCATATTTTCAAAAATTGTTCACCATGGTTGGGCTGGGGTAGGTATAAATTCAATATCCCAACGAACGTTAAGTGTTGTGTCTGTCTCTTGAAGGGTAGCGGCCAATTGGCATCAGGGGCAGTGGCGTAAGGTATACCGGCTGTTCAGGCGGTTCAGTGATAGTGGTGCTACTAGAAACTTAGTACGATCTAGAGCGTTATCAATAATTCATTAATGCAAATTTGGCAAGTACGCCAAAGTGTAATTAAAAGTGCATTTCCTAATATATAATAGTCATTGTTATTTTTTGTTATTTGGATTTCTTGCACTTTACCTATTCATGGAGGAATAAGCAACTCAAGTCATCTATAACGTATTTTTAATATTTCACCATACCTGCACTTTGTGTAAATAGGCCTATAGTCATTGTTGTTTTTTGTTATTCGGATTTGTTGCACTTTACCTATTCATGGAGGAATAAGCAACTCAAGTCATCTATAACGTATTATTAATATTTCACCATACGTCATTGTTATTTATTGTATTGTGTTGTACTTTTCACGTATTCATGGAGGAATACAATTCATCTACTTATGGCACTCATAAGAAATTAAATTTGAAACTATTTATCAATTTTCGCAACTGACCTACATTTTTCTTATTCACATGATTTAAAATAGGTCACGTATTTGATTTGGTCATTATCTAGTCATGCTACACCTTCTGTGCCAAGATATCTTTTTAACCCACTCTTATTATGTACAGGGCATAAATATGCCTTTACTATCTCTTTTTTGAATATACTGTAGTACCTAAAGTTTTCTTGAGTTATACTGGTAAGAGGATGCCCAAGGTCATACTCTCAAAATCTTCCTATGGGAAAAATTACCCACACATGCTCAGATCACCACACCCCACCCCCTTTTTACCCCGGCGTCAGCAATCCGGGGATCTGCTGTGAACATTTTCTAATAATAAAGCACAAAAAACATGCTGTGAAGTTTTTAGGCCTATATACAGGCAAAGTTACTCCCATTCTATATTCAGGCCACAAAACTAGATTCAGAACCGGGATTGTCCGGTTGGAGCAAATATTTTAATATAGATTAATTTTGTAAAAGTAAGATATTATATACAGTATATTATTGCACTACGTATTTTTATGAAAATAAAATAGCTATAATTGTATCTGTATAAAGCCCCGCAACCTGGACTCAGAAATACCAGGATGGTATGAGACAGAGTACTATGAGTTACTTCAGTAAAATAGTAATAAATTACAAATAATTCGCTTTATTATTAAAGTTTTTCTGTCCCCGAATTTTAGACTCAGATATATAGGGATTGTTCGGCACGAGTGGTTTTACTATGGATTACTTCATTAAGGAGTATTTGTTAACTGAATAAAGCTTTGTTAGCTTAATCAAACTCGGCCAATTATATGCAAAAGCCCCGACTGTATTCTCGAACAAGAGTCCCTGGAAACATATAGTTACGCGTTTACGCCACTGTCTAGAAGCCATATTTTCAAATTTTGCTCACATCAGCCCCAATCATGTTCCACTAACTTTAAATCTTGTGTTCTACCAATGTACATGACGGAGAGGGGTAAAGGCTCTACAGTTTTTCCAGCTGCTATTTTCCGGCCATGAGAGTATAGATTCTACATCCATGCTAACTTTAAATCTGTCTCTTGAGGGGAGGGGTAGCGGCTCAGTAGGTTGTCAGTATCTATTTCTTAGCATTTAAAGATGCCAAACAAGTTGTTCACCAAGTGTGGGCTGTCGTGGATATATTATCAGACCCCCACTAAAATTAAAAACCTGTATCCGTAGATATTGGTAGCGAGCGAGTCTGCAGTTTAACAACCAAATTGTTAAGCCCCGCCCACGTAACTATAATGACTGGACCACTTGCAAAATTCTTCCGACGGCTATGCCCTACAGCTGTTTCATGCAGTAGCAATCTTCAGGAGTGAGTGGATAAGAAGACAATGGAGGCACCGTACTCGCACGGATAAGCGCCCGGGCGCTTAAAATATTTTTGACTCTTTTCGAGGGGCGCTTATTCAAACGGGGTGCTTATGA